CAGTGGTCGAGGTTTGGGATCAGAGGAACGATTTGGTGCGAAAGACCATCAAATGTCAGGAGCCGGTGCTCAACGCCCAGAGAGCTATGCTCTCAATACTGGCCCAAAGGGCGCACAATACGGACCTCTCGCTGGACATCAAGAAAGCGTTGTTCAAGTCGTGGCTCATGTCGACGAAGACTTCGCGCAAATCGGGAAACATTCAGAGGAGTTATACGTTTTTGTTGGAAATGAACAAAATTAGGGGATCTTTGAGTCTAACCTTCGGCGACAGCACTCACGAGTCGACCGTCAGTTCATTGACTGATTTGGAGAACTCGCAGGCGATCCTCGAAACGGCCAAAATCGAGTGGAATAAGAGTAAAATAGGTTTGTTTTAGTGATAATCCGGGTCTTTATTGGTAGTAATTTGTGTCTTAACTCCGACCTACAGGTGCCATACAGTACCTGAAAAACCAAATCGAACAGAACTATCAGTCGTCTGTTAACTACTGTTTCCAGAGAGCGGTGACTAATCTCAACGAAAGCTTCTCGGCTGAAGAGCTCCTGGAGATCAAGAACTCGATGTCGTACGGGAGCTCATCGATACCCAGCTATCTGTCGTCGTCGTCCACAACGACAGGCAGTGATGTGTCGATTCGGGACCAGACGGCCGACGAGGCGTTCGCCCGACTGCAGCTCCTGTACGCGAAATACTGCGACCAAAACGGACTGTTAAACCAAAACAATTTGGCGATTCTCTACAAAATCGTGACAATCGCTGCCCCGAACTCCGAGGAAAGTCACTACAACCTCGGGATGTATTGCCACCGGATTTACAAGAGTTTCGAGGACTCGAAACGGAACCACAGATTGTTTTCGTTGGGAAAGACTGAGGAGATTCTCGAGATGAAGGGCCGGACAGTGCGCTCACTCATAGAGTCGTTGAAATATGGCGTAAAACACGCGCACAATTCACTGCCCCTACTGTTGAACATATGGCTGGATTTGGGGACAGAGCTGGCGCACAGCATCAATCGCGGCAGAAGTACTGTTCCCCTCTGCGAGACCCCATTCCATGTGATGAGTCTAATTGTATTGTGTTTGACAAACAGGTAGCGTCTCATCGTCTCAGCTCAACGAAGAGATCCGCAAAACGATTGAGAAAATCAATAACAATCTCAACGACCTGTTGGCTAACGTTCCCCTCTACATATTCTTTATAGTGTTCGCGCAGT